GGGTCCTCCAGATGTTTCTGAGTTCAGTTCCCTAAAGTCTAGGCAATGTGGCCAGTGGTAAGGGATTGTTAAAGCTTTACCCCAAAACATCTGTAGGCCCAAGAGGTTCTCCATTTTTGCTTCACATTCTCTCCACCAGCAATATGGAGGATAATAATGATGTTGACTTAGCTTTTGTCACCCTGACAAAACTGTGGTACTCCAGATGCTGTTTTAGCTATCTTTTCATCATGTAAGCAGCTTTTTAATATTCATTGTTTCCAGCTTTAAATATTATTTTTCAATTATGTAAGCTGCCTTGGGTCCTTTTTAAGGAGAAATGTAGGTTATAAGTATTTGAAAGAAACAAACAACACTTGGAAAATAAATATCTCTGCTAGGGCAGTTTTGCTGGATTACACTGTTGCACAACAGATGGTACCAGATTGTACATCTAAAGTAACATTTTAGATGCAACATTTAACACACTAACCTGTGCAAGCTCCGAAAATGTACAATTGCTAATGTAACAGATTTTATCAGCACAATGACTTGACAACACCCAATGACATCACTCAACAGAGGCTAAAATTTATTTATTTATTTATTTATTTATTTATTTATTTATTTATTTATTTATTTATTTATTTATATTCCGCCCACTCTACCCAAAGGTCTCTGGGTGGCTTACAACAATTAAAATTCAATACAATAAATTATAAAATGATTAAAATACAATTAAAATATGATTAAAATACAATTAAAATTGCCATCATCAAGACCCACAGCTGATGTTATTTCAATCTAAAATTTAAATTTAGATTTTACATCTTAGCTAACTTGGAATCATTTTTGATTCTGAATGATCACAGTTGTAGATTTTTAAGCTCAAAGTTCAAGTTTCCAGTTTTAATTAACCTTTAAATTTCTTAATAGGAAAATCTATGTTATACCTTTGCTCTCATATTTAATTATTGTATTTATAAATGTGTTTGCCCAGAGAAACTTAGGAAGATCTATCTTTTTAAATTTAGGCAGCATGAAAACCAGATTCAAGGGCAAATTGTATTGCACAACACATTTAAGCTTTAGCAGGCAGAAACATAGTTTGAAGGAAGAAATCAGGAGAATACCTAACATTTAGTGAACCATGCTGATAGTATAGCTAGCCAGTTTTTAATAGCACCATAACATGATACTGGAAATTGACAGCAAGAGCTGGACTAAATAGGTCAGTATGCCATTTGGATGTGAAGATTACACCAAATGACATATTTCTCCTCCCCCTCAACTTCAGGAGACCCTATTTAGTCACCTGTTCTGAAAGGGCCAGTGTAGTCACAGCCTTAATTGCCCTCTATCCGCAGCTTATCAGCGGTAATATAAAATAGAAAAGGAACTTAAAAAACTATTTCAGAAGATTTCATCACTGAACTCTAGAAGAAGCTCTACAATAGCAGCAACCTGAAGATGTGTTTCTTACAGTTATTGGCCAGAGAACCACATCTTGTTCAAAATGGTCTTTTAATACATCTGTAAAATGCTGTGACAACCATTAGTCTCTATTTTGCAGATGTAAGATTTTTCCTATCTTCCTTCTACTTCCAATGTTGTTACAGTGGTCCCTCGCTTAACGATTACCTCATTAAACGACGAAACCGCTTGATGATGAAGTTTTTGCAATCACTTTTGCGATCGCAAAACGATGTTTAGATAGGGAAATTTCACTTAACAATGATCAGTTCCTTGCTTCGGGAACTGATTTTTCGCTAAATGACTATTTAGAAACAGCTGATCGGCGGCTCTAAAATGGCCACTTGCTGTGCAGAATAGCTCCCTGCTCTGTTTTCAGGATGGATTCCTCGCTTTACAAGCACCGAAAATGGCTGCCCCTATGGAGGATCTTCGCTGGACGCTGAGGTATTTAGCCCATTGGAACGCATTGAACCAGTTTCAATGCATTTCAATGGGCTTTTTCGATTCGCTTGACGAGGATTTCACTGTACAACAATTTGGATGGATGGATGGATGGATGGATGGATGGATGGATGGATGGATGGATGGATGGATGGATGGATGGATGGATGGATGGATGGATGGATGGAAGGAAGGAA